TCTTTGTTTTTTTGTTTTTTGATTGGTAGTAAAGTTTTCCATATCTCTGGTATAGGTGTTGCGTCATTCCTATTACATGTGTTGGGTGTGGATTCGATGAACAAAGATTCAGTAATTAATCTCTCTCTCCACCTAGCTATATTAGACTTAAGTACAGTGGTTTTGTCCCATCCTATTGTGTGGTTGTGTGTTAATGAATGTAATGCAATGGCTGAGTGTTTTTCTAGGTTATTGATCTTATTGGGGTCTGTCGTTCTATGTTTAGCTAAATTCCTATGTTCTGTTAATCTAACTGACCCCGACCGGCTAGTTTGACTGACCTATGTATTTGACTTCACAGTCATTACATGGAATTTGGTAGATTATATTATTTTGCTTAATTGGTTCTATCGGATCTTTTAGCCGACAAAGCTTACCTCTAAGTGAGTTTGTTGGTTTAAATGCCACCCTAATTCCAACCTTGTTGAGAATCCTACGTATGGTTTCTGATGTTCCTTCCTTGTATGGTATCACAATAGAGGTGCTGATTTCCTAAGTAGAAAGGAAATCAGCACCTCTATTATGATACCATACAAGGAAGGAACATCAGAAACCATACGTAGGATTCTCAACAAGGTTGGAATTAGGGTGGCATTTAAACCAACAAACTCACTTAGAGGTAAGCTTTGTCGGCTAAAAGATCCGATAGAACCAATTAAGCAAAATAATATAATCTACCAAATTCCATGTAATGACTGTGAAGTCAAATACATAGGTCAAACTAGCCGGTCGGGGTCAGTTAGATTAACAGAACATAGGAATTTAGCTAAACATAGAACGACAGACCCCAATAAGATCAATAACCTAGAAAAACACTCAGCCATTGCATTACATTCATTAACACACAACCACACAATAGGATGGGACAAAACCACTGTACTTAAGTCTAATATAGCTAGGTGGAGAGAGAGATTAATTACTGAATCTTTGTTCATCGAATCCACACCCAACACATGTAATAGGAATGACGCAACACCTATACCAGAGATATGGAAAACTTTACTACCAATCAAAAAACAAAAAAACAAAGAGAGATCAGGTGACAGGACTATAAAATCAGATGTCGAAAGAAGTGTGATTACATTGATATGATTATGAGCAATAATTTATGCTCGAAACGTAATCAAGTAAATAATACTGTATCACTGTGCGCTTTATATCAAATAAACAAATCTAATATGGATCCATCTAAGAGAACAAAAACCATCAGAACCACCTTCTTGAGCTACAAATATTCTTCATCCTTCTTCATATTTCCTGGTGAGTTTTCTTTTTAGACTTCGTTCGTCAGACTACTTATTACTGATTTTTGTGTTGTTGATTGAAAACTGTTTAAATATGGTATGATCCAGTCACTCTTGTATTCAACATTTCTATCCTTTATACACTTTTCTCTTTGCCCACCAGATAGATAGATAAGTCAGAAGGTTGTCACCATCATTCTCCCCAGTCCCCTGTTTCAACATAGTTTTGATGCACACTGGTGAAAATTCGATATATTTTGACAGATTATGAACATGTCAGCCATATAGCTCTCGTAAATGATGAAATCATCCGTTATCTGATTCATTTCTTATGCTGACCAGTAAACGTCAAATAAGACGGTAGGGAAATTTCCATAGTCACCTAATCAGTTTTTCGATAAAGACCACCAATGAAAAGGAATCAAATAGTTTTTAACAAAGAGTCTGAGCGTTTCTTAAATTTTAGTTGAACACGGAAAGATCCCTTAAGTTCCTTTATCTCAACAAAATTAATACGAAGAGACAGTTTATCTAAAACGTTTGATGTATTAGCTTACTACATATCGAACAAAATGATCACACACTAACTTGTCACACATTATTTATATAAACTCCAGTTCACAACGGGTGTTTAATGAAACAACAATAGGTATCATCAAGTTAATAGAACATTGGAACAGATAAAGTTTATCTCCGAGCCAATTTTACAGTTTTTCTTATTATCCTAACTTCAGCCTTATTAAGAATCCTAATTAGAATATTTTGGCACGGTTTCCTAATATAGTAACACGAAAGTGACTCCAGATTCCTAATTAGTTGTACTAATATCATCAATTATATTTGAGAATGCATGACTTTTACATGAGTAGATAGGAACTTAAGGCTTCCCTAATGTTATTGTATAGGAAAAAGATGTCAGAAATCCAAAGTATGATCCTCATTAAGGCTGAAACAGGTTGGAGTTAAAGCCTACAAATCCAATCATAAACCAACCTTATAGGCCTAAATATTCCATAAAACCCTTGAGTCAAATGAATTCAATTTCTCAGTTACTTTGGAACGACTGTGAGGTCAACTATATTGGTTAAAGTGGCCTGTCAGAATCAAGCAGGTTAGCAGAACCCATAAACCATACTAAATCTACGTTGATGGACCCTAATGAAATGAATAATTTAAATAAAAATTCAACCACAGACACGCATGAGGTAACATTTAATCGCATGAGTTAAGGTAACAGACCTAAAGATTACTGTAGTTAAGTGGAAGAAGGAACTGACCAACGCAACTTTCGTCATCATTTCAACACTTAAGATGATCAGTGGAAATGATAAGATACAAGGTAGATGGAACCCTTGACTGCCAATCAACTCAAAGAATAGAAGGTAAGAGGAATTTCAAAAGTAGGCTAGAAATTGTACGATTATCTGATCATTATAATGTGGAAAACAGATGCAGAGACAACAGCGGACATGCTCATACCACTACTGCAGAAGGTTTGGAAGGAGGGAGGGATAGGTACCTGTCAATCGATTGGAAGAAGGGCTGCCTTGTCAAACTCACTAACAACGGAGACCTATACCTTTGCATGAACTGACGCCAAATCATGCCACTATCAAACCCAAACAAAATATTATGCCGCATCATTCTGGAGAGACTCAATAGTAGGCTGGGTTCAAAATTACGACCGGAACAGGCTGGCTGGCTTCAGAAAGAATCACTCTTGTGGGGATCAAATTCCAACACTATGCTGCGCATCATAATAGAACAGAGTACAGAATGACAGTCAACTCTCTACTACAACTCAACTTCATCCACTTCGAAAAGGGACTTCGATCGAAGTGTCAACTGACAAGCAATTTGACAGTTGCTTCAACAATATAGAATACCATAATCCTTCATCAACCTCATTCAACACATATATGAAAAGGCCACATACCGAGTGATTGACAATGGAAAGTTGAGTGATGCCTTTGAGGAGAAGACAGGAAGGAGTAAGACAAGACTGCCTACTACCACTGATGATGTTGCTGACTGTGGTTGACTGTGGTGGATTATGCAACAGACAACTGTGATGAGTGAGGAGAGGGGTATGCACTGAGTGGAGGGATGAAAAGAGCCTAGAATATTTGGATTTCGTGCATGATGATTTATGTCCAATGTGTTCCAAAAACGCGAAGATCTACAGGCGAACACTAACAAGTTGACAGAAGAGGTGAGGCAGGCAGCAAAAACGGACTTTGAGTGAATGTAGAGAAGATGGAGATGAGGAAGATACGCAACGAACAACAGCGTCAACAACAAGCGCCAGTCACCATTAACGGGAGAAACCTAAAGGAAGTAGTCTCTTTCACCTACCCACCTATCTAGACAGCATCGTTTCAACTACAGGCAGCACAGATGAGGACGTCAAATCCAGGATCGGAGACGCAAGGCAGGCTTTCACTAATCTGAAATCAGTGTGGAGATCAACTGCACTCAGCACAAAGCGTGAACAAAATTTGAATTTTCATCACCAATGTCAAGTCAGTGCTGCCATATGATTCAAAAAATTGGCACGTCACGAAAAGTACTTCCAACAAAATACAGACATTCATCAACAGCTGCCTCCTACCCACACTCAATACTGAAGATTAGATGACAAGAAAGACTAAGCAACGAAGAAGTCTCGGAACGAACCAACTAAGCAAGAAGCTATCATCCAACAAATTTGCACAAGAAAGTGGAGATGCATTGGACTGGGCATACAATGAGAAGACCGATTGAGGACAGCACGCTCCAGACCTGGTAGTTGAGTGGAATGCAAGGGGGAAACGATGAGTTGGGTGTGTAAGGCGAGGATGACATGGAGTAGATCATGTGAGGAAGAGATGAGAGGTTGTTGGCAGTCGTAGAGCCAGATTCAAAAGATTGCAGAGAACATAGTGCAATGAAGCGTGGTGCTGAAGCGGCATGTTCTTCTAGGAACTCAAGAGAATAATAATGATAATTATTACTATGTAGAATGAATTCTGCCTGTAATTTGGTCCAGTAAGCACAACTGTATCCTTGTGTGCTGTCTCAGACTAACTAATGCTGTACGGAATAAAACTCTACTCTTGCATAAGAGTACAAAAGGAATGGAAGGTAACATAAAGCAATCCTTAGTAGATTGATAAATTAAGTAAGCGTTTCATATGAGGGTAAAATTTTAAGGTGAGAATTTGAAATAATTAGTTGTTATGACGACAAGATTTAGACTAGTTCATGCTTATCTAGATAACATCCCTTGCTTTATTTAAAGATAAGCTTGAATGAAAACTATCACTTTTAGTGATTTGACTATGATTTGTAGTGTTTTGGTGTTCAGTTAAGAAGAACCTTTGAATTAATATACCATTATGAATATATAGTATGTTCTAAGAGTGGAACTCGAGCAGTACGATATGTGTTGTGGCAACTTGGACAGTAACACAGTAATACCAGTATCCCATATTGATAGTGACTAACTGATTGACTTACTGAGTGGATAAATCACACTCTAGACACGATTCATTGCTCATTAGAATTATTACTGTGAATAATTTGTCCCAGTTTCTGTTTATCATAAGGTAAGTGACAATTTCTTCAATTTGGTGAAGTCTTGACATGTTGACTTTTTTATTTATTTAAAGATATCACATAAATTAAGAAATTCATTCTTCGTATGAAATTGAAACAGCGGAAAACATGCAAACTTACTATGATATCACCAACAATTACCACTTAGATATAATCATTCACTTGAACATCCAATAAATGTTGACAAGAAGAATGAAGTTAAAGTAGTTTTGTACTATTTCCATGTAAATTGTGTTTATTTTTCAAGTTTCAAAATGACTATACAGACGTCAATAGATGATATAGAGAGAATGATTTTAGAAAAAGTGAACACCAAGCATATGTAACATGACAAATTAGTTATCCAAGAAACAATTATCTAGTAGACTGATTCTGATTTCCAATATTGATTGAATGTTTAAGATGAACTTTACTTCCTGTAAAAGAAAAAAAAAAGAAACCCAAAAGAGTGAACATGTAAAGCTTATCGTGAAAGAAGCAAATGACAGGCATGCAGGAGTGGGATAGTAGTCGTTAAATATAGTACACTTTGCACTAAAACCGTCATTTGCAAAACATGCTTCACTATCTCTTCTGCTTCTCTCTTGACTTTCTCTTTATACGCCTGCCTTATCTCTTATGTTTCTCTTAGCGGAATCCTTACCCATTGCCGGTAATTCCCTATGATTTCTACCACCTTCTCAACATATACTACTTATATCCATTCTTATCAGCAACGCCCAATACAATAATAATCTAAAGATATTAGATAAGGTAATATTTTTTTTAACTATGTGACATTATACACATATTACCTTTTTGTTGACCCGTTGTCAGATATCTGAATTCATTGATGTATATCATTATAAAGATTTTCTAAGCGCTAACAAACAGTTAACTATTCACAAATAGAGAAGTCTTTTTCACTTTTTATCCATTATTCAATGAAAAGAGGACAACTATTTACATTCAGTATACTTCAGTATACCAAAGACAAGCTTCGACAGCTTGTAGCAGTTTTCTTAACATCTCTATCTTTAGATCTTACGAAATATCATGATTTATTCATCCACTTACAGGCAGTAACTAGTCATATATGAAATATTCACTGATATCAAGTTTTTATTCTTCTAGTTACCTTTACGTCACGTGTAAAATTTGGGAAACGAGTTTGCTCCTGATGATTGGATTTTGTTTAGTGAAGGCTTAAGTATTTTCCTAAGAGGTGAATACTATGATTTTTCAGTGTATATAACAAACACCATTATGGCTTGTATTATACCGTCGTTAATTGGATGGAATTCATCGGTCTCTATTGGCATATGCGCTCTAGTGCAGATGCTTCGATATTGCCTGTATTTTAGTTATAGTAGTGATGGACAGAGTGCTGCTACATGGTTCAGAAACTTGGTGCGTCACGAAAAGCATTTCTAACAGACTACAGACATTCATCAACAGCTGCCTCCTACCCACACTCAATACTGAAGATTAGATGACAAGAAAGACTAAGCAACGAAGAAGTCTCGGAACGAACCAACTAAGTAAGAAGCTATCATCCAACAAATTTGCACAAGAAAGTGGAGATGCATTGGACTGGGCATACAATGAGAAGACCGACTGAGGACAGCACGCGCCAGACCTGGTAGTTGAGTGGAATGCAAGGGGGAAACGATGAGTTGGGTGTGTAAGGCGAGGATGACATGGAGAAGATCATGTGAGGAAGAGATGAGAGGTTTTAGGTAGTCGTAGAGCCAGATTCAAAAGACTGCAGAGAACATAGTGCAATGAAGCGTGCTACTGAGGCTGTATATTCCGCTAGTAACCCAAGGGAAAGAAATAATAATAATGGATATTCCCTAGCAATGGGATTCAGGATGTGCATTTCGTCATGTTTCGGACTCGTCAGCTGGATGTACTTGTTTTCCACTGAGTGGTGTTGTTCTCACCGGGATTCGAACTTGGGACCGATCGGTTCGAATGCCATAGCAGTGGTCTAGTGGATAACGTTCTGACGTTTGGAGCGATCAATCCCGGGTTCAAATCCCGGTAAGGGCAACACCACTCACTGGGAGGCAGGTGCGCCCAGCTGACGAGTCCTAAGTAGGACGAAATGTGCATCCTGGATTCCCCTGCTCTCAACTACGTAGCAATAATGCAACAGTCATTTGAAATTTTACGTATGAATCGTATTAGATTGCCGACTTATCGTTATATCTTAAAAAGTATGTATATCAACTTATTCAGGAAGTCAGTCATCAAATGATATTGTCTAATTTCTACACCGTACACTGATTCTTGAAGTATTTTCTGAGATGAAGTGGGTTCAAAATAAATTTGACATGAAAGTGATAGCTGCAGACATGTTTATTGCCTTTTGTATTTATAAATTTCCTTCTTGGTTAACATTTTATGTTCATCAAGTAGTATGAAACATTTAATGAAGGAATTTGTATCACATAGGTTTTCAGTAACTCAGCTACCAAGAACAAAAACCATGTCTTGTTCGAGATAAAGAACACATCCTTCGGGTTCATTTGTGTATAATTGCCTTCTCCTACTTTATATGGCATAAACTTGTATATTCCTTCATTTTAGGCTGCAAAGTTGCCTTACTGTTTTTTTTCAAAGTAATTGCTTTGTCATTTGCTTTTAAACAAGTTGACATATTCTCATCTCTACTTGAAAATGACCTTTGAAAAGCGATAAATTCTTCCCCCTTAGAATAATACTTTAATAAACACCTATTTTTATATTATTATTTGTCCCTTGGGTTCCTAATGGAATAAAGCGCTTTAGTAGCACGTCACCATTCCACTCTCTTCTCTGCAAAACTTTTGAACCTTGCTCCACGACAGCCCACAACCTCTCATTTCTTCCTCGCACCATCTACTCCATGTCATCCTCGAACGTCCAACTCGTCGTTTCCCATCTGGGTTCCACTAGACAGCCTGACCTGGCACGTGATATCCCCAGTCGGCCTTCTCAGTGCATAGCCAATCCATCTCCACTTCCTTCTGCATATTTGTTGAGTGATAGGTTCTTGGCTGATTCGTTGCCAGAGTTCCTAAACACCACTGTTTACTTACTCCAAAATTGGAGTTGTAAACCAGTTAACTTTGATAACCTTTCTTCTCTAAGAGTACACAATATATTTGCGCAAAAACCCGGATGTATATCCTATTGATTTGAACGAGATATGGGATATTTTACTGACTTCTTCAGAAAACAGTTTTACAAAGTTAAGGTTCAATCTTTTGAACTGTGAACAGTTGTATGATACGCAAAAGAATGAAAGCATACGTAAAATGTTTTACATAATATAACCTAACAAAATATATTAATTACGAATTTCGCGCGAAGAAGAATAAGAGAACTTCAACAGGCTGAAGAATTTGAACGAACATTCTACTATTCTCTCAGACTTGATAAGTGCCAGAAATACTATCGTAGGTCGGATCTGTTACTTTCCTCATAGTACTGGAATAGTTTTCCGGTTAATTACCATATTATTTGGACAATATTGAAAGATTGGTTATTTTGAAGACTTTTCGTTCAATATGAACGAAAATCAGATCGTATAAAACTTCATATCTGATACTGCATCTTTCTCAGTTTTGTTCTAACTTTTCAACATTTATGTATAGATCTGCGTGAGCAAACTTCTAGCCTCTACCAAGACAACTTGAAGTTCATGTACACAACGTTTTCTTTCAGTTACAGTTCAAGTGTTTAAGTTCAGTGTTTCTGCTTCCCTAAGAATTGTTTCTCCCAAGCCACTCGTACTTACTATAGCCTAGGAATTCTTTAGAGACGATTTTTTTCACGTTGTTTTCTTGTGTGATTTGCCCCTAGGTTTAGACTATTTGTCCAGTGGTGACTGGTGGTTATTGAAACCATAAAAGCAGCATAACTTGCTTGAAGATTTATATTTTCAAAAGAAACTGAGATTACTGAGGTGTTAACTGTGCATAACTGCAGGTCAGAATTGTACATTTCAAAGTAAGTTTCCTATTCATCACTTGAAATTTTCAATACCTGAATAAAACTTTTTCATATTAGTGTATTATGAAGTGAATGGGGATTTTATTGGTATACTGTTTGGAGATGGATATCCTGAAGTTCTACTGAGAAGCCGTGACCTGTGATATAGACCAGTTCTCAATGAAGCAGCTGCTAACTAAAGACCTTGGATGATAATCTCACTATATCGTGAAGTGACAGAAGCAGAAAACTGTGGATCACCGATCTTCGACCTAGTGACTGAATGCTTAGCATATTCACCATCAGACCCGAAGGTTCTGAGTTCGATTCCTGATGATGTCGTGGGTGTATATTGATGAGGAGTCTCACATTGGGGCGAAATGTCTGTCCAATGTTTCCAGGTTTCTGGTGGTTCTCCCATTGATGCCGGTCCATGATGAATACTCTCTTATTTCATCCAAGGCTTGTTTATTTGGTATAACACACAATGACATAAACATCTAGCATGAAATTACGTTCTACCACAGTGCCCAAGTTTTACACTTATATTAAATATAACTAACATCAACGACAAGCTCCAATCACTAACAACAGGAGAAACTTACAGGAAGTAGTCCCCACCGATCTAGGCAGCACTGTTTCAACTACAGTGGCACAGACGAAGGTGTCAAAGTCAGAATCTGAAAAGCAGACAGGCGTTGATTAGCCTGAAACCAGTGTGGAGATCTTCTGCACTCAGCATGTGGAACAACATCCGGATTTTCAACACCAACCTCAGTCAAGTCAGTGCTTCTGTATGGTTCAGAGACTTGGCGTGTCACGAAAGGCATTTCCAACAAACTACAGACATTCACCAACAACTGCCTACACTGGTTCGATACTGAAGATCAGATGGCCAGAAAGAATGAGCAACAAGGAGCTCTGGCTGACCGGGAGACGAACCAACGAAGAACCTATCACTCAACAAATATACAGAAGGAAGTGGAGATGGATTGGTTATGCACTGAGAAGGCCGACTGGGGACATCGCGCGCCAGGTCAGGCTGTCTAGTGGAACCCAGATAGGAAGCGACGAGTTGGGTGTCCGTAGTGGGGTGACATGGAGTAGGTGGTGCGAGGAAGAAATGAGAGGTTGTGGGCTGTCGTGGAGCGAGGTTCAAAAGTTTTGCAGAGAAGAGAGTGGAGTGGAGACGTGCTACTGAAGTCCTATGTCCCACTAGGAATCCAAGGGACAAATAATAATGATAATAACTCTTCTTATCCTTTATATGTTAAACTATTGGCCAACAGAGATGGTAACGCTTTGTTGCCAAAAGATGTGTCCAATGGTTGTACAACGTCTGCGAATGATATTGTTGAAAACCAATTTTCTTACCGTAGTCTCTTTTTTTAAACTATATTGGTTCGAAAAACAATAAACTAGACAACTATCACTACACTTTCCTCTTTCATGTATA